TTACGCTTTTATATAATACTAGACCATATCTGTAGCCAAATGCTTAAACGTATTGCCTAGCATTGCGTTAAGCGCGTGAGGTCCTGGGTTCGAATCCCAGCGAAACAAAAACTTGTTTCGGTCGGGCAGGGCACAGAAGTCTGATCAACTACTTGCCTGTGAAAGAAGGGATCGATTACGAAAATGTGTTCGCTCCATGCCCCACCAAGGAGAAACGGGATTTCACTTAATTATTCCACCGTTTTATAAAAACGTATATGACATTTTGCATTTTGTTAACTTAAAAGTTACATCTAAAGTCTATTGACATCTAGTGACTAAATTGAACTCGTTTCGCTGTAACGATGAGAGTGTAGAGTCCCTTTTAAAAGAAAAATTAAAAATCGATTTTAAATTGATAACATTTACGACTCGTGGTGGACTTCACAGCGTTTCGTGCTATTGCTCTAACCAATTAAGCTACCAAATCTTTTAATATCGATTTTTAACTTAAATATTGCCATCATGTGCAATACACACGTGAAAAAGTTTTCACAAGGATAACTCCTTACGGAATATGTGAAAACTGCTTGCTTCAACTTGTATGACTTGGTATACGCAAAGAAAATGCAATCTGTTGATAGTTTGCATATTTCCGAGAAAAGATCTAGACCAACACGTAATAATGTGACTCCGCAAACCGAATGCGAAGAACGTGAAGGCAATGTACATTCTGTTTGTTTTTTCATAAATTCATATAGGTTTGAAAACTTTACTATTTTTTACATGTTATTGTACATGAAGGCACTATATAATTTAAAAATCTAAAATAAATTGAAATGTTTTTTTTTCAGCTCGGGCAGGACTTGAACCGGCATCGTCAGCGTTCCGTACTGTTGCTCTACCAATTGACTCGGTAGCTCAATTGGTATAGCAATTATTGCCCGAGTCGAAAAAAATTTTTTTTCAATTTATTTTCGATTTTTAAATTCATATAAGTTTGTACATCACTAAAAAAAGATATTGAAATGTTGTTTTGAACAACGTCGGCAATGAGTTATAATGATTGTAATATTTCTTTGTATAATAATTTGAAACGGCATTGCCAAGTTGATGTATAGGTATATATTCCAAAACTAACTGTGTCAGCGACTTCGTCTGCGTAGAATAGTTATTTTGGGCTTAAAAATTTGTTTTTGGAAACCTCCTCCACGTCATTCTTATATGTAAATTACTAGCTGACCTAGGAAACGTTCTTTTGCCATAACGATTCTTGTGAGATAATCTAATGTCATAAACTTAAATTGTCGCGGACTTTTTTTAGATCATTTAAAGCATGCATATTGCATATTTTTTCGGTTTCGTGAACCGTTTTCGCAGTGCATACAACGAAAACTTTCGAAGATAGCCGTTTTTCCCACATTTTCCGCTGTTTTTTCGCCCTTTTTCGTTGCACCTCGACGTTTTGAAGCCCAAAGTCTTCTTCAATTAATGGTTTAACAACCACAAAGATATTTTTTGAATTCTTCCTAGTATTACGAATTGAGCGTGTTCAAACAAACAAACTCTTCAACTGTACGATATTAGTATAGACATTCTTTTAAATTTCTATTCGCACAACCGGTGGCACGCAATTCGTCATTCATAATTTACTCGGCCACAATTGATATAGGTGATCAATTTCTGTAATTTGATGTCTTTATCAGCTGAAAGATCTCTCATCGAGCTAATGGGGCACCGCCTATTGGAAACTCGAGCGAGCACGTGTCTGTTTGTCATGTGAATATTTTAAATTAATTAAAGCTCACTTCTATGGCTAATTTCGACCACCTGTATAACTTTTTTTAATGGTTGAAGACAACAGACAAGCATGGTGTGATAAAGATAATTAGTGCAAGTTGCTTATGAGCGTTCTAAAGTAAACATCCTTTTAATACACCCGTATAGAGGTATGAAAATAAAAAAAGCTAAAATTTCAAATTCATAACACATCTATCTATACTAATATAGAAAGCTGAAGAGTTTGTTTGTTTGTTTGAACGCGCTAATCTCAGGAAGTACGGATTCGAATTGAAAAATTCTTTTTGTATTGGTTAGAGCATTTATCGAGGAAGATGATGGGCTATAACACATTTCGATGTGACTAATAGGAGCGAAGGTATAGCTTTTAAGTTATCTTGCAAGAACGATGGGACGCGGATGATGTCGTGGCTAACAGCTTACATTTATAGAGTTGTACAAGGGGTTTGCAAAAACAAAAATTGATACTAAAAATAACTATACTACGCGTAGGTAGTTGCTGAGTCAGTTTGTATGAAATATAATTTAAATACTGTACAGTAAGATGTAAGAAAGTAAGTGTATTTTTTTAATGATAGAGAAGGACAGACACGCACGGGGCTCCCTTGATAGTCGGTGAAATACCCCAGCCTATAGCATCTCAACAGGATGCGCGGCCGACCTATTTTCGCTTTAGATATTCGGAAATCCACAGGCTGAAACCGAAACGTGATTGAACTAAACAGCTTTTTCATCTGTGCTAAATGGTTGAACATATTACATTGCGGTAAGCGCGAGAGTTCCTGATTTCGAATCCCGGGGAAACAATAGACTGTTTTCTCAGACTGGACATAAAAGTCTGATCAATTTGCCTGAATAAAACGAATCAATGAAATGAACACAGAAGTAATCGCCCCGTGCCCCACGGGGGGAAACAGGATTTAATTTATTGAAAATTGCTTCGGTCGAACAGGGCACTAAAACGTACGGAAAATAAAATCTATAAGAGAAGTAGAGTAGTGACACAACATATTATATTCAAATACGATACGTAAGTTCCCTTAAAAACGAACGAAGAAACACTACCAAAGAATTACAAATTAACTGCGAAATTGAAGCGAAATATCGTTATTTATTAGCGTTTCGTTCAAACATTAATTAAATAATATTTCTAGTCAAGTTCAGCTTGATTGGTAAAGTAATTAAGTTATCGGAAGGTCCCTGCGGCAAAGTCGTGAAGGTAGAGTAACGATAATAAATGTTACCTATCCGCGCCTAGGATTCTCGTGTTTCAGCCTGCGGCGGCATATATGTTAGTGAAAATAAAGAATTGGATCTATTTATTACACGTAAGGCTTATTAATTGTCTTCTTTATTAAATTGAGCCATTTGTAACTGTTGCTACTGGCATTTGTTAAAACAATAAATATTTCAGATTATAACACTAAAGATTAAGTTTTGACAATTAAATAAGACCCTAGATTCCAAAAAACATATACCTAGATGACACCATGAGTCCATTCTGTAAGGTTCCAGTCATTTACCAGTTCTCAAAATACTAACTATGATGAAACAGATGGCGCTAGTGTAGAAGTTTTGACTTTAACATTAGGTACACCCTCCATCTTCAATTCGCTTGTGACCACGACTGCTGCAAAGCGAAGACAGGCCGTAGTTAAAATAAATTGTAACAAATATATTTCCCAATTTAAACCGCTAGAAGTGTGTTATTACTAGGTTTTGCTTTCGAAAACTAAAATACACGAAATGTTACGTAAATAGTGCAATTGCTTTTTTTTGTACAACATAACTTTTAATTAGTACTAACTGTGTCAGCAATATCATCCGCGAGGATCGTTACTTTGGGCATCCAAATTCGTTTTTGCAAAACCCCTTTATAAACTTAGGCTGTTACCCACCACGTCGGTCGCGTCCCCCCCCGTCGTTCTTGCAAGATAATCTTAAAAGATAAACATATTGCGTCGGACGTTGCCCTTTTTTTTAGATCATTAAAAGAGGAATCATTCTTTCATACATATTTTTTGGGTGTCTTGAATCGTTCTTAGAGCGAACGCCTCGGAAACCGATAATGATAAATAATTTTCCCAATATTTTTCACATTTCTCGCTGTTTCTTGTATTAGTCACAGTGCGATGTTTTACAGCCTCCTCGATAAATGCTCTCCGTAGTTTCTGAGATTAGCGCGTTCAAACATACGAACAATCAAACTCTCAAGCTTTATTTATTAGTATAGGTAGTATAGATTTATGAATAATTTACAATAAATACCTTTTTCATTTCTTTTTCATGCTCACAACAATACCTACACATTGGTCTCATAATAGTAAAGAACACTACCAGTTTATACACGTGCCATTTATCTTGAAGAGATTGAAGACTCGTTAAGATTAAAAAAAAGTTCTCGCTCAAAGCACTAGTTGAATTCAATATTTAGGAATGACGTTATAGTAGAGTTAGTTTCAAATCACTTCAGAACAAGTCCTGACGCGCTTTATTTTTATTATCCCTCACAAGTGCCGTTCACTGTCTTTGACAGTGGAAGACTAGGTTTCGTATTACAGAATAACGTCCTCCGGGCTGTGACTCCAATGAAAAGTTTTGTAAAATGGTTCGTTGGATCTTGTTTATCAAAGTTGGAAACGCATATCTACTTTCAGTCGGTCTTCGAACAAAACTGTGTGCTTCTTAGATTTGAACCAATCGCTGATACGTTGTACTTCGGATTCGGGTTTTAGTTCTGGAACGTCGGTAACTTGATATTAAATACTACATGAGTGCAATTAAAAAACAACGGTTTCATAGTTGTAATTGTAGCTATGTTATAAATAATTGGTCGTGGGATCGTCCAACAATTTTAAATCAATTTATAGTTTTTCTGAAACGTTGGTCTTTGTCTGAAAACCTGGATATTAAGTTGTTGGTAGGAATGTCGAAATTGTGTCTGGGTCACGAACTATCATAGATGAAAAAGCCGTCAAGTTAAGTCGGTTTTATTCCGTGTTTTTCCGAATATTCAAAGTCAAAATAGGTCGACACTACGATATTTGTCTGATATTTCGAGATCATAAAAAAAACGCAGATTATATTTTTCTCAACGACTTAAAATTAGGCTTAAATTAAATGACCCTGAACTTTGTACTGCAAATATTTGAAGGCACATACACAGATTGTTATAATGGATGGTTTATATTATTTTTCCAGTTGCGGGCCTAATGAAAATAATGTGGCTCTTCAGAGGCACGAGACCGGCTAATCCTACTCCTTTAAGAGGGCCGTCAGTGGTTGCAACTGCTGATGGTGGAACACCGAACGTGCAAGTCGTCTCCAACATGTTTAATGAATCGCCAGACAAACCAGGAGTCATTGTAAGTGACACAATTGCATGTCCACTATGAAAACCTGTTCGTGTGACGTATGATAATAATATTGTGTGCTCTTAATACCATATTTAAGCAAATATTATCTTTCAACGAATTTTCTAATATGATTTTATAAAATTCGGATTCAAACTCAGGATTACTCGTGCTAAACGGAATAATAAGGAACACCTTAACTCAAAATAATAACATAAAAACCCTTTTTATTGGTATAATTACTAGTCATTTGTAATTTACTCAAAAAATATTAAATATATATATCAAAAAAACTACAGGATATATAAGTAAATAAAAATAACAAAATAAAACAACGCTTTTATTTGCTACTCGGTTAGCTACAATATAACTATTTTACAGTTAATAAAGTTTAAATTCCAATAACCTTAAACATCAAGAAAACGATTCAACATCAGGCAAAATTTTTCGATATCCGATTTTTAATAATAAAAAGGATTATTGAATTGAAAGTAAAGAAATTACAGATGGGACTTGTGGCCTCTGATATGTCATGGACTTTCTTAATTCTTGTGAATTCTATACCGCATAATACCATTCAATGTATGTAAGCATTTACGTGTATATATGCAAAAATTATAAAGATTGAAGTGTTTTTCACACTACTGTTTCCCGGGAAAATACTAAACGCAGTTTAATTAACTTTTATTGCAAACGCAATGAATAGAACCTCTGTATTTGCCGCGTGATTTACCTGTTTACTCGTGTAGAACGAGCTTATATTGAAAATTGAATTGCAAAGCGAATACTGTAAAATGTAAACTTTCAGGATTCATTACAAAATGGAGGTGATTAGGGCTATGAAATTAAATTAAATTACAAATATTGTTCGATTATTACGAACAAAGGCAGTCGAATGTTAAAAATAGACTATAATGTAATTATCTAGTTTTTTATTACAAAACGTATGTTTATCCTTTTGTTTAAAAAAGGGAATTATAAGTCTACAATATTTAAATATAGAATGTTAGTAATTTTCGACACACGCTCCTTACATTTGGGTATAATCTATACTAATATATAAAACTGAAGAGTTTGTTTGTCTTTTCCTTTGTTTCTTTGTTTGAAGTACTGGTACGAATTGAAATTGTTTTCTTTGTGCTGGTTAGAACTTTTATCAAGAAAGGCCTTAGACTATAACATCGCGTTGTGACTAATATCACCGAAGACACAGTGGGTAATATGACAAAAAATGGGGAAAATTATTTCATCATTGTGGGTTTCCGATACGAAAGCTGCTAAAACGGTTCAAGATACATACAGAAAATATAAAAGAATGCTCTTCAAATATCCGCGACGCTATATGTCTATTGTTTAAGATGAGCTTCCAAGAACGACGGGACGTGATCGACGCTGTCTGTAACAGCTTAAGCTCATAAAGATGAGGAGATTTGCAAAAACCAATTTGGATGCCGAAAATAATTATTCGTCGCGGTACATATGTGTACAGACAAACAAAGTAAGCTGTGAACAGTAGAGAGTGTTGGATTTCCGTAGCCTTGTTAATACCAAGCAACAGGTGGCAATGAAATAAAGCTTAATTTGTCTCATTTGACGCGTCTCTATTGCTCTATATCCGATCTTATTTCGCATTAACCAGCATTATGCGATCACTGTATCTTATAGTTTTGCTGTTTTGGAAAAGATACCATAACACATATTGATATTACAATGTATGGACCGTGTTCATTTGAATAGTTATTCTTTAATTTATTATCTAGAAAAAAACTTACTTATTCTAACTTGATACTTGCCAGTTTCTTTGTCAGAACTAAGGTGTGAATAATTCTCATAAAAAAATTGTCCTGCTTTAAAAACTCTTTCTGATACTTTATTCTTTAATTACTAAAAATATTATACTCACAAATTTGAAAATAATAATCATACCTAGTATTGAATTTGCGATACTATGTTGAAATATATAGTATTTCAAAGCATTCTGACTATTTTGTAGGACTTCATTAAACTATGGACTTTCTATTTGTAGTGTACGTGGTCACTGAATGTGTTAGGTTAGTTTATTATTTTGCATGTTTCATAACTATTTCATGATATTGAAATTCCTCGTATGACATTACAACAAATTCGAACTGGTGTCTTCACGAGTACTTCCGTCTCCGTACCTTAGTGGTCAAAAGTGTTAGATATCCTAACCTCAAATCCCAGTAAATGACAAATATAATTATAACGGACACTTAGATGTCTCAGACCCATTCCACGATGATTTGAAAACTAGAAAGAGAAAAATACGTTTTTTCTCTCAAAAGTTGATTAAAACATTTCTTTGTTTCTACTTAAACATGGAACGGAGAGTACTATTTGGAATGCCTACTCTCAATAGTGCTTCAGGCCAAAAATGGACATATAGTTTTGTAATTGTATTTAATATCTCCAATTCAGTGGTGGTTATTTCTATAGTGCAATTCTTTTGAAATAAATGAAATATGTGGATGTGCCACTAAATTAAAATTTACCTCGTCTCGTCATAACGATGCGTCCTTTGAGTATATTCATTAAATGTTATTTCATTAATTGCTTTTCTGTCGTACAGGCTAAGACTTATTTATTTCATATTGTGTGTATTTAAATGTGAAAAGTTTTGAAACTTATAACTTTATTGAGATGATTAAACATGTATAAACTATGATATAATATTCTACACTTCTTTAGAAGGTCGAAGACAGAAGAATGACCTCTATATAAAATTATAAAATGATTGATGTTCGATGTTCGATGGATTGTAGAAGTCGAACCACAACCCGCTCATATGTATAACATTCCTACAAAATTGGAAATCTACACTAATATTATAAAGCTGGAGAGTTTGTATTTTGTTTGCACGTGTTAATATCAGGAACTACTGGTTCTAATTGAAAAATTATTTTGTGTTCGTTAAAGCATATATCCAGGTGGCTTTAAGCTATCAAACATCTCGCTGCGATCAATAAGAGCGTAAAACAGTGATATATAGAAAAAACCCGCGATAATGCTTCATCTTTGTGGGTTTCCGATGCATACGTTGTGAAAATGGTTCAAGATACCCAAAAGATATGAAATAATGACTCATCATTAAACTATCAAAAATATATCTGCAACACTATTTGTATATATTTTAAGATTAACTTGCTAGAACAACGGGAACGGACTAGCGTAGTGAAAAACAGTTTGAATTTATAAAGAAGAGAAGAGGTTTGTAAAAACAAATTCTTAGGCCCAAAATAACTATACGCGGACGAAGTGACAGCTAGTCTACAGTGTAATGTCTATGTGAGAAAGTTATTCATTTATAAAATTTAGAATTTAATTAATAAACAGAATTGGATCCGGAGTCTGATGGGTCGTCATGGGCGACAGCGGCGGCAGAAAGTGACCGATCCGGGAGGAGAAATGCAAATGATGCTGATCAAGAAGGACCGGGCCAATTCCGGAGATGTTTGCCTGCTTGCCGAGAGCCCCTTCAGAATACTTAGGGTAAGTTGCCAAGTCTCACTGCAGCTTATAGAACTAAGTGGCTCTTATTATTATCGATTTTATATTTTTCCAATATTAAACAACTGTTTGAAACTTTTATATTTTTCACATGTTATTGCGCTTTATATATTTATTCTACTAAATAAATTGATATCTTTTAATTGTATTCATGTGTATTCTGAATTTGAAATTCCAGCTGTTTTATTCCTATAGCACTATTGCGGATTAAAAGGATTTTAACTTGAGCATGCTATTTTTCTCGTAGGCAACTTATACTAATTAACTTTATTACAATTTTATCGGTCTCCCTTTAACGTGCGATATAAAACTGTGTAGGACCGAAGTTTTGGAAGTTTCGCGTTATTACAAAACCGCGAAAGTATCCGGCTTACATTAATATTAATGAAGAATTTCAAAAATCGAATAAGCCTTATTAATTTTGTGTACTTTAATGGTAGCGTGGAAGTATTGCGTATCTAAAAAAACAATTCGTTATTTCTATCATTATCATCAACATTTTACATTGTTACTTGGAAATCTACTAGTAGAACCCCACTACCGAACACTTTACATCTGTGGACGGTAGTTTCCTGACCCAAATGGAATTTCGTTACTCTTTCCACCTATTTCATATTCAGATAGATAAATTGATTAGAAACATCATGGACCTGGTGGGGATCAAAATCACACAGTTAAACAGAGATCTAAATTTCTCATCTCATTCATAGATTAAGAGCTTGACCCACCACGCTACTACTGAGTGGCTTCACGCCACTAATTTAAAGATGACAGCTCAAACTACCAAACTCCTACTTATTATAGAAATTCTTTAAAAGAAAATGTCAATACCGAAGTAACCTTTCTTCCTCTCCAACTTTGGACCTCGTCTCACGTCAGCGTCACTAACCACTAAACGAACAAAGCTATATTTATATTTACGAATAATAGTCATTCATTTATGATGCTTCTGCACTCTAAGTAAGGTGTGTCATATCCACTTTATAGACCCGTTTACGATGATAGTAATATACAAAGCCCTAAGTACATTAGGATTATTAGTTCGATCGCGTACACTTTTAGCGTTTTTGTTTATTTTTAGCCCAATATTGGACAACATTTTTGAGTCTTGCCCAATTGAAAAACCACCCTTATCCGTAAATTCGAACTCATGAACCATCGCACTTAACGCTTAACAATGAATTTAAATAATTGAGTATTGAAAACTTTAAGATTTTTCAGATAATATACATGATGGCACTATATAAAATAAAAACAAAAAATAAATTGAAAAAAAAACATATTTTTTTCAAGGCCGATTCAAGCCTTACCCGATTAGATTTTTTTTTATTTTTAACAAAAAATCCGTTTTGTGAATGTCACTTTAATCTTTGTTTTGTAATTTTCTACTTATTAATGTTTTTATTCAAAAACATGATTGGTACTACTATAACTAACAAATGTATCTAATGAACCTCAAAAGTTCATTCGTTGGGTTTATAATATTTCACAATAACAAAAAACAGATCATGGCTGCAATACATCTGAGAAGCGAAACATAAAAATTGTATTCCTTTAAATATGAAAGTCGCGGTGGTTATCAAAGCTTACTCAACTAATCCCCGAATAAAAGCGAACAGTGAAACAGACATAGATATCTCTCCCAGCAGCATGCAGGGGAAATCGGAATTCACGTTTATCATTATATAGATACTTATATATACATTTAGATAAAACGTTTGTGTACACGTTTAATGGGCTAATAGGGTTTTATGATAACAAAGCTTTCTACTAGATAATATGCGCAGAGTCATTAATTTATTGATCACGTACTGGGCGGTGTTCAATAAAACGAAATAATTTTATGTGAAGCAGTGAAGTGATGTTTTTATTTCGACGGGCGCAAACATTACCATGTATACCGTGCGGAGTCGCGAATTTATTTGAGGTAAATATAAGAAGCAATATTATTTAAATAAAACAATTTTAAACACGGGGAGACGTGACCACGGCTGCTGCAAAGCAACCGAAACGTGGGACCGAAGTTAAAAATCATTTTTAAATAAGTTTAACTAATATATCGTTTTAAACCGTTAAAGTGTTTTATTTAAATGTGTACTACTCGCGTAAACTATAGACAGCAATATTATGTCAACAATACGCGAATCTTTCCCCACGAGAGTATGTTCGAAATATGTTTAAAGCATTGAATATCCTAACGCCGGCAATCTGGAAAGAAAATGTTTTGTATATGAGGAAAAACGTAGATACTTTTAAGACAAACGGCAGCTTTCATCAGTACAATACACGTAATAAGGACAAAATAAGTGTACCAAACAAAAGGCTCCAAAAAAGTAGTAGTTCTTTTCAAGGTAACTACATACGACACTTTAATAAAATCCGCAGCGAAGTGCAAGCACTCTCAATAAATAGGTTTAAATCGTATGTAAACAAAATTGCTTGAAAAGAGTTATTATCACGTTAACCAATATTTAAATGATAAAAATGCTTGGGGTGTGGAGGAACCCACTCTTACAAGGAAAAATATGTAGTGCACTAAAAGTAAATCAAGAATGTAAAATGAAACTTGGCGATAAAAGGAGTGACGGCGAGTTTATTGCCAGTTCTTCTCGTTCGTTCTACGCCCTTGATTAGTTCTCAAATAGGTAGTAAATGTAAAGTTAGATTCTTTAATTATTTTTCGACGTTCATAAGTGTACATAGTTACCTACATGAATATATGATTTTTGACTTTGACAATATATGTCTAAAATTTAAATCCGGCCATGTGCGGTTCGGATTATCGTATGAAGAGTTCCGTAACACTAATCATACCGTATATTACCTATAAATTTTATATATTACAATATGACCGCCTCTGTAGCCAAATGGTTAAATGTATTGCCTAGCAATGTGTTAAACGTGAAAAGGCCTGGGTTCGAATCCCAGGGAAACAAAATTGTTTCGGTTGGACAGGGCACAGAAGTTTGATCAACTACTTGCCCGTTAAAAGAACGGATCAGTGAAATGGCCACAGAAATGTGTTCGCCCCATGCCTCACTAGAGCATACGAGCTTTCACAATATGCTACTTCTTTTGTTATTTCAGTGACCTACCTTTCAAATTTATTTTTTAATTAAAACATTTTAACGGCTTAAAAGGCGACATACATCAGTTAAACTTATTTTAAAAATGATTTTTAACTTCGGCCCGACGTTTCGGACGCTTTGCATCAGCCGTGGTCACGTGTAGACTTTAGGAGGGGGGGACTATTATATTGCGTTTTGAACCGTTAAAAATGTTTTGTTTATAATATTTTATAAGTAAACCATACACGTGACCACGGCTGCTGTAAAGCATCCGAAACGTCGGGCCAAAGTTAAAAATCATTTTTCAAATAAGTTTAACTAATATATCGCGTTTTAAACCGTTAAAGTGTTTTATGTACTACTCGAGTAAACTATAGACAGTATTTAAACAATATTTGTTATTGTACTCGAGTAAGCTAAAATAGTAATTATGTGTACCTTTTTTAAAATATTGACAATTATAGAGCAAAGAAGACAAATAAGTCCTGTTTCATACGTGCTCCTGTTAAATATTGATTTTTTTCTGAATTTGTATCTAAAAACAACACTAGGGCGAAACAATTGACTGATGCGGTACAAATAATGATCTCAATAATAAAAGCGCGTTACGAAAAACGTTTCGTTAGCTAGTTATATAGGTATAAGGTTTAATAGCGTCACGTACCAAGAAGGGGAATGTGTTAACGGTTCTTCTGCAACTTTTAATTTGGTTTATCACAAGTACATATATACCTACATTACATTTCAACATATTTCATCTAATGCAGAGCGAGAATCTCCTCTAATAGACGTTTCGAAATTTGGAAGAAATATATGTATTACATAGAGACAATCATTAATAGGTATTACTTATTTTATTTATATTACATAGAATCTCGAATAGTGAAAATTTAACTAGTTTAATCAATTTAAATAAAACACTTTAACCATTTAAAACGCGAAATATATTCATTAAACTTATTTGCAGTAGCCGTGTACACAGAGAGACGGAACGTCTTGCCGAAATGTCGGACGGTAGTTTTAAATACTTTTCAAATAAGTTTTAATATATGTATTTTAAACCGTTAGTGTTTTATTTAAATGTGTACTACTCGTGTAAACTACAGACAGTATTTAGCAAGTACAAAAATGAGACTAGATTTCTTATCGGGGTATTTAGAAATGTCTTTCTTATGAAAGAGGGGACAGACAAGCACTGTGTACACTTGATGGTAAGTAAAAACTCCAGCCACATAACATCTACGCGAAATGTGCTATCGACCTATTTTACCTTTGAATATTCAGAAAAGGTAGAAATAAAATTCTGATAGGACAATATATACTAAAAAGATTATTATGACTTAGCCTCTTAACAACCTAGATGTAAAAAACTGCCTGGGTAAGGTTAATTAATATTAAATCCCGATTTTATATCCACTGGAAAAACAGTTCACACGGGGCGGGGGAAGGGATGATTCGGGAGATCGCTCCTGTGAGGTCCCGGGGGAGGGCCGCGCTCCTGGTAGCTTGCAGTTTTAGAGATGTACCCAACCGCGTCACTCGTACATCATGAACTTCGGCCATAGACAAAGTTATGAAAGTGTATCATATTTGTCAAAGCGAGGGAAATAATTTTGAAAGTGTCAAGAACTAATTTGCTATCAATTTCTTATACAAAATGAATCCGTTCCGTAAGAGGAAGCGTTCGGGTGGCAAGCGAAATTTCAAAAACAGCGCCCATGCGTCACCGCACAATTGGTCCAAAATATTCGGGCACATGAGAATACCAAATCTCCTAATAGATGAACTTCTAAAGGTACGTATGATCTTTAGATTTTTTTTAGGAGAGGATAATTAAAATATATATATTAATTAAAACAAGATAATTTAAAAAAATTACAACACGGGCAGGACTTAAACAGGCATCTGCAGCGT